CCTGACATGTCAAATGATGCCACGGACAGCCATGTTTGCGAGCCCATTTCAAAACATCCAAATGGCCTTTTCTAGCGGCGCCCGCACAGGTCATTCCATTCCATGGGTATTCTTTTTCGAGGGCCCATTTTAGCACGGGGATACTTCCAACACTGGCAATTGTCTCCGTTACGTCACAGAAATCTTCACTGTCCTCGGTGCATCCCAGATCGTTGTCATTCCCATATTGGAGTCTTTGGCAGTGCCAGTGTTCGGCACATGCCACATTATAGAAAGCAACACTATAATAAGTCTCGTAGTGGGTGGCGACTGTTGTGCTTTCACCGCTCTCCTCCTCCTCCTTCTTCCGCTTGTCGCAATATTCTTTGTAAAGGTGATTCATTTGTTTGTTGACTGCACCAATATACGCGTAGTGCCCGAGACCAAGACATGGCAGGATATTTCCAATCCATATATCTGGCCGAGATCCAATAACAAATCTTCAGCAGGAGGAGCAAGCTTTTGCTTGTTGGCGCTGCTGGGGTTGGTGCCAGAACCACACGGGGAAGTAGACATGGCTAGTAGATCTAGATGGGTAGATAGGATGATGAGGAACGAAGGTAGATAGGTTCAACGATGTCAAATAGCAAGTTAAGACTGAGATACCGGCAACTGGTGGGGTGGATACTGAATGGCGGCTTTTTGGGGGGGACAGATTTGGGTTTGCTGCTGCTTCGAGGAGGGACGGTCTTTTACGTGCCAACGCCCGCCATCATGCCCGTAGTCTAGCTAGGTGTACAGTAGCCTCCAGTAGGGGGGACCAATTTTGGAATATGGGGACCAATTTTGGAATATGGGGACCAATTTTGGAATATGGGGACCAATTTTGGAATATGGGGACCAATTTTGGAATGGCGGGACCAGAACCGGAAACGGGACTAACTGGCCAATGCGGGGTTGGTCCAGAGGTTCGGTTCCCCGGATGACCTGACGTCATTTCATTCGTGGATACTCTCAGAATAATCTAGAGTTCGCATCGGCCAATTCCGGTGTCAACTTTTAGGGTTCCTATTCTGGACAAAATGACGTATCGGTCGTACGGCGATAAAGCCACCGGCTCAAGGGTTTTCTTCATTGGTGCCTCGTGGGGTGGGTTATCACTTTTTCTTGTTGCAGTCGGTGAATTTTGTGCATGCACTCAACCAGCACTCTCTTTCGACGAGGACGCACCACAATGAGCACAACCATGACCACAAAGGAAGACCAATCGTTGCTACCGACGATCAGCAGTCCCAAATACTCGGACGACGAAGAAGACTCGGAAGACAATAGAACTCCTCTGCCACAACAACAAGAACATCCCTATTTAGTGCGGACATTGTCATTGACACTCTCGAGTCGCAACAAGACCAACCATGCTCCTGGCGATCAAGCTCATTCCCTGGTGGGAATCATTTTGATCATGCTGGGATCGTTCTCCTTTAGTTGCATGTTTCTCTTTGTCAAGTTGATGCAAGGCAAAGCCAATTCGTTTACCGTGGCATTCTACCGCGCCTTGGTGGAAATTCCCATTGCCCTCTGGTTGTGTCACAAATCATCACCTTCTGGCGAACCAACGTCACTGCAAGATTTCGTGGGTCCTCCTGGCCGCGCCCGTCGCTGGTTGTTGGTTCGTGGCGGCATGGGAGGAGCGGCCGTCTTGTGCTTTTTTTACGCCATTCAACACTTGTCGCTACCCGACGCGGTCACATTACAATTCACGACGCCTCCCTTTGCCGCGGCATTTGCCGTTTGCTTTGCCGGAGAACAATGGAAAGGTTCCGACATGATTGGGGCCGTTGTGTGTTTGCTGGGAGTCATGCTCATTGCCCATCCCACATGGTTGTTTGGATCAGAAGAAAATAATGACGAGGCAACACACGAACAAGATTCTCTGCCCGCCATTGCCGTGGCACTGCTCGGTGCTGCCTTTGCTGGACTGGCGTACATGTCGGTCCGCATGATTGGCCGGGACGCCGATGCCAATGTTATGGTACTCTACTACAGTTGTTTGAGTCTCCCAATGACGTTGTTGGGATCCAAATACTTGACGACACAATCCTGGAACGTGTGGGCGGGTGCCACCAATTTGGCTGCGTGGGATTGGTGTTGGATGCTCTGTACCGGATTGACGGCATATGCCGGACAGTACTTGGTCAATTTGGGACTGCAATATGAAACTGCCGCCACCGGGACGCTCGCCACCTGTTCCCAAATTGTATTTACATATGTATTTGAAATACTCTTTTTGCACGAACCCATGAGTCTCTGGAGCTTTCTTGGAACGCTGCTCATTATTGGATTCATGCTGATTGTCGGAATCCTCAAATTGAATGATGCCGAACTCGGTCATGACGAACGTATTGCAGGAGAACCAGAAGAACTCGCCATGCTGTTTTCTTTGGAGCATCAACATCATCCACCTCGCAACGACAACAATCATCCACAAGCAAGGGAGTAAGCTATTTGAAATAATATTCGTATTCGTGACGACCGAACTGTGGAACAAAAAGAAACAGCAATCAAAATGCCATCAAGAAACCAAACGCTGCCAGTATTGGATTGGTGGTCTGGGTGGCTTCCAGGGCATCATGACACAATAGTGTTGCCAATAGCTAGAGCAAAGAGAAGATAGTTGTATTCTTGAATAAAACTGATCTACTACATTGGGTCCTTGCGCCTCTTTCTAATCGGTATTTCACAAAGTAGGCTCCCCCTTTTCACCGTTCATCTTGATTATACAGTATAACGGGGGTTTGGAGTAGGTTGAATTGTCTCCGTTCATCCTGATCGTCCCAGGGACATCCTGTTTCAAGTGCAGACTCGATCTACAGTGAAGATTGTGGGTCTACTATTTCCATTGAGTATTTGATGCCTCTGCATGGCTAGAACCTCCATTGTTGATGGCCCCGCAATCAACACCGGTGTAATCTCAAATGTCCAATGGAGATCATCTCAATTCATAAGATCAACCTACAAGAATTTTATGGCTATATGTTGGTTACCTGCACTCATTTTGTGGGGGTTCCTCCGCTTCCTCTCCTTCTAATCATATTCCTCTTCGTAAGAGTCCCATTCGTCTTCGCTCTCATCGTCTTCCGCTCCCTCTTCGGGGCAACCATTTGCACGTGCCCAATCAACGATTTCTACATGATTCTTTTTTGTAGCGGCACGAATTGTCAATGAATCCCAAGGGCATCCATTGGCCCGTGCCCATTTCAGCATGTCAAGGCGACCAAAAAAAGAAGCAGCCGCACACGTCCTTAAATCCCATGGGCAACCATGCTCGCGAGCCCATCGCATAATTTCAAACTGATTCTTTCTGGCTGCTTGAAAGCATGTGAGTGCATTCCAAGGACAACCATTTATGTTGGCATACTTGAGGATATCAAGATGCCCACCTTTGGCAGCAGCCTCACATGTTCTCTCATCCCAGGGACATTTGTTTTCATGCAACCATTTCAAAATATCAAAGTAACCATTCTTTGCTGCCACTGTGCATGTCCACGCATCCCATGGGCATCCATTGTCATGCAGCCATTTTAGAATTTCAAAGTGACCCTCTCTAGCAGCCACAGAGCAGGTGGTGGAATTCCAAGAATATCCATGGGCATGAGCCCACTGGAGTATTTCCAAGTGACCAGCACCGGCAGCAATCGAACATATCAGATGTGTCAAGCTCGTACCTAACTCATTGTCAAGAGCGTATTTCACGATTTCCAAGTGACCACCATAAGCAGCATGGACGAGGAGCCAATCGTGCTTTGGACAGCCATTCAATTGCAACCATTTCAGAATGTTGAGATGCCCACCCTTCACAGCACCCACCATTGTATCGGCATCCCATGGACAACCATTCTCGTGGGCCCACTTTAGCATTTCAAAATGACCATTTTGAGAAGCTGCAGAGCATGTTGAAGCATCCCATTGGCATCTCTTTTCGCGCAACCATTTCAGCATCTCCAGGTGACCACCTTCAGCAGCAGCTGCGCATGTCCCTGCTCCCCACGAATAATATCCTATTTTCATTGCCCACTGAATAACTGAAATGTTCCCAACTCTTGCAGCGGCCTTCAAGACATCATCGCCAGTGGGAAGCTTATCGGTGGAATCATCGCTGAGCCAGTATTCAGCACATGCCACATTACAGAAAGCTGCACCGTAGTACGTATCGGTGCTGGTTAGAGGTATTTTTCTCTCATTGTGTACTCGAGGCTCCTTCGCCAACGCAGGGTTGTCTACTCTGGAACAATATTCCTTGTACAATTTGTTTAGTTGTTTGTTCACAGCCCCAACAAAGGCATACTGTCCCATGCCAAGACAGGGGAGGATTTGTTCCATCCAAATATCCCCATGTCCCGAGAACACTTGAAAGTCAAGAGGGGTGGAGACTTTCTGTCTTTTCAATTTCAGCTCCATCGCAGTAGATGCGTGGGAGAGCTTACCAAAATGTGGGAGGTGCCGTAGTCTTTGAGCTCCCAGTAATCCTGGGTGGCAATTAATGGAACCAAGCGACCAGTTATAGCTTGCTTGTTGGATGGCAGGCAATTGTTGCTTGTGCCTTGTGTTTTAACTTGTTGCTGCTGCGGACTGATTTTGTTGAGCTTGCGTGACGCCCAGGTTTGTGCTCGAAAAGCGCGGAGCGTGGAAACAATAACACTTCCACTCGTCGTTGAATGAACGAATGACCAATTCGAACCGAATGCAATCGAATGCTCAATCTGTGAATGATTTCATTCAATCGAATATTCCCCGCAACGCCACCACTATGCATAGCTAGCTAGAAACCTCATCAAGCTAGCTAGCTAGAGATCAAGCTAGCTAGCTCCGTAAACAGCCATGGTACCGATAGAGGCTTCAAGTCGTACTGTAGCTCTGTACAAGAGTTTTCAAGCATAATATACTGTTACAAAGACAAGTAACATGTGATCCTGGTCAATCACTCAATGATGTCGTAGATTGTATATTGTTAGCATCGTCTCCCGGTCCCTCGAAAGACAGCATAAAGCTCCGTTTACATCTCATCGGGATATGTGGGTTCGGCTGTTTCAATCATTGTTTCAACCATTGTTTCGATCATTGTAGCTCCGGAAGTTCCCCCCGCTGTTGGACTGATGGTAGCATCCACCACTTGAACATTATCAAACCCATCGCAAACGATATCCACACCATTAATGACCGAGACTTGTGTGGGGCTCAGCTTGTGCATGAGCAAACCAGTGAGATCCTCTTCACTGGGTTGCACAATCCCAATCACCTGAAGCCGCAACGCAGATAGAATGGTTCCACCTTCGTCACACGTGGAGCACCGTTGTCCGGCGGCTCTGGCACTCTCCAGAAGCAATTCATTATCTGTCATGTAATATCCCCTCGAATACATCTCAGAGTCCCCACTTGGAGGGACCAAGATATTCCAAGGTGATCTGTAGCAGGGAGGGACATCCACCAGACAATGCACAGAATGTGCTTCTGGATTGCGGAGCGTCTCAATGGTAGGATTGTCCAAAAGAGTTCCTAGTAGCAGAAAAAGAAAGAAAGAAAGAAAGAAAGAAAGAATGAATCAGTGGCGGCAGGTTCACAACACTGCTGATTCGATTCTGTGCTGATTTCTGTGCTTTACGTACCTCTCGCAATGCAAAAGTTGTCCATCACGTATCCTGCAACACAAACCTCATCTCCTACCGAATGCCCTGGCAGCTGAGCCGAACTGGAACACAGCAACGAGACAAAGGTAGCGACAAGTAAGCATCCACCGATTTTCGTCATGGTTCTATGCATTCTGCCCTTTGCTGTCGATCGATGATCCGCTATACATGTACATGTAAGAAGAAACCAAGTCTCAACTTCCAAAAATGGCAAAATGTGGCCACCGACCATTTTGTTTTTGGCCAATGAGGATGTCCGCGGTACATTATTCAAGACGCACACTTGTCTCTACTTCACCACTAGCGGTTGCTGCGTGTCTAGCTGCATCCTCTGACTAGGTTCTCTAACATTGTATCTCTAGTTTTTATTACTGTTTCACTTCTATTTGACATGCATGCAGTGCTTCACTACCCACCCTACACACAACAACAAGACTGGCGTTCTTGGCTGCGGTAGTTTTCCTTGGTCATGATACCCCTGGCAAGCTCATTGCACAAGACAACATGTGGATACAGGAGGAAGATGTAGACCCCAAGACTAACCCAGTTCTTGTCCAAGCCAGAAAGAACAGCATAGGTAATGTTCATTCCAATGGTGATCAAAATAGGACAAATGGTGAATGTCAGGGAACCAATGATTCCACTCAAGTGGGCGATGATGACAGCACTGTAAATGGCAATAAGAGCCCCAAAGTCGTAGTTTTCAAGCATGAGAAGCTTCTTATCTTCTTCAGTTCCATACTTATCATATATAAGGACAGCCACAAGGCCAATGATACTTAAAATGAAGCCCAGAGTGTCCAGCATGATGACTGCTCTCCTCATGTCACAGAGACAGCCCAGGAAAGAGTGGCCTTGTTTGACATTCTTGAGGTTGTCCACTGGTGCTCCCATGCTGACTGCTGTAGTGTTATTGTTGCTCATGGTTGATATGAAGGGTTGTTTACTTGTTTCTTTGATTGATTGATTGATTGCTTTGGAGCTTTCGTTTTGTGAGCCTTGTTGCTTCTGGATAGGTGGCTCCTCTCAAAGCTCTGGATGCTCTGGATGCATGAACGTACCTTGCAGTACTCGTAGCACGAACTGCAAGCCAAGCACGAAACGACCGTGACTGAACAACGGGACTGTGACCAGCCAAAACCTGCGGGAACAATCGATTCGATTGAATAGAGTCGAGTCGAGTCGAGGCGAATGATTCGATTCGATTCAACCGAAAGACCATTCGAACGCGATGTCGAGTGATCATTCGTGGATACTTTGATCGCCAAAGTGGATCTTTTGAGGCACAACAAAAGAGAGACTGACTGTCATCCAAGAGGAGCCGTATTTTGCCTCCTGTGCATGTGCTCTATACCGGTATACATATGAAAGCTGTTGCATTGGTCGCCTTGCTTCAAACAGCATGGTCTCTTCGACCTCTTGACAATAGCTGTAGGCAAGGTCTGGCTGGTACATGTACAACCTCCTGTCTTTGCATGGTGAGCAACAAGGATGATCCCGGTCCTCGATCTTTTCAGTTGACGCCACCTATCTCCACTACCGGTACTCGGAGAAGCCTTCTATCAGGACTCGTTTCGTCAGTTCCTTTTTTTGGGTCCAGAGTCAATGCCGAGACTTCTGTACCGACACAGCAGAAGAATGGATTGGGTCCCTTGGCAGATTTGGTGGGAACCTGGACGGGAGAACAAGGCATCAACATCGTGGCAGTCCCCAGTCGGCGATCCAATCCCAGCGATTTCGGAAAATTCGAGTTGATTGTCCGACCCTACCGCGAGACACTCACGATTACACCCATTGAGGGACCCGTGCGAAATCGTGGTGGAAACTTGGACCAATTCGTGGGCGCAGTGGCCTATGAGCAAACCGTCACTGCCACCGACCATCACCCAGAAACCATTCACGTGGAAAATGGCATGTTGTTTTACTTGGAAGATATTCAGAACTACAGTGATGGATCGCCAGTTCTAACAAAAGAAGAGACACCGCTCTACTCGGTGGCTCGCAGTGCATCGATACCTCACGGCAATTCGGCGCTGCTCTTGGGAACGCACCGGAAATACCGAGGGCCTCCCAGTATTCACTACATTAGTGCTCTGCCACCCAATATCGGTTCCAAGGCACCACCCGAGTTTGTACGGCCATACTACAGGCCACTCAATATCGCCAATCCCAACGAATACCTTCAAAGGGCCGTCAGTGCCCAAACCATTCTGGAAACCACGCAATTCTCCATGGATTCTCGCAACAGCGGGATCGTCTCCAACGTTCCCTTTCTGACCAGCCGTGCCGACACCACCGGCTTTCAATGTGATTTCTGGCTGGAGCGGGTACAACAACAAGATACGGCAGCACGGAAATCATCGCTACAGCTGCAGTATTCCCAAGTCATTGACATTGACTTTCACAAGCCAATCGTCAGCAGCCCCGACGAGGACGATGGCTCGCTCATTCGATGGCCCCACGTCACCGTAAATACGCTCGTCAAACAGGAATAATACAGTAAGGGATCAACCGTACTACCCAACAATTCATTGATTGATTCGTCAGCACCGGCAAAAAGGGACAACACTGGCGCATTCATCACCGTTATGTGAGCGCGTTTGGACATTCTCGAAATGATACGCAGGATGTATTCCATTAGCACCCTCACGATCTTGTTCATGCATCCGGTGCCATTATCCTTGTAGTGGCTCAGGGATGCCTTGTTGACACAAAAATCGCCCCTTGCGAAAGATTTCGCAAGACACATCCCTCTGTCGTCGCTACGGTACCTCGTAGATGACCGCAGATGCTGCACTCCTCCTACTCCATGCTCTAGTACGGTACCAGACAGGGATTCCTGAGGAAAACTGAATTAGCTACAGTGCAAAGTACAATGCCAGATGATTGATGAAGCAAGTGAACTATTTTTAATTATCATTGGCTTCCTCTCATGCAGTCATCACTCATACCCGGTGCATGCCAATCCGTGTGGTTGTTCCATGTATGTAGCCGTTGTAGGAACCATCATTGTCTTGGCAGCTTTGCCTCGGGTCAAGCAAAGTCTGGTTTTGTTGTTACCAGAGACACTAGAGAAAAGGCACCACGGACCAGCAGACAATAAAGCACCAGGTACCAGAAGATCAAACCGAGCTTGGAAGGCCGAAATAGCGGATGGGTATCATGCTGCAACACTTGCTCTTCTTGGCAATTTTCATGTACCCATTCCACAACGTGCGAGTGGCCATGTATGGCTGCAAGTTTCGAGCAAAATCCATGATCCCATGGATAATCATTCTCATGAGCCCATTTCAGAATGGCCAAGTGCCCATACCTGGCAGCCTCAGAACATGACTCTTGATCCCATTGACATTCATGCTCACAAGCCCACTTCAGAGTTACTAGCTAGATGACCACTCTGGGCAGCAAATAAGCAAGTCCGTGAATTCCATTGGCATCCATTCTCGCGAGCCCACCTCAGAACTTCAAGATGCCCACAATGGGCAGCAACACGGCAAGTCTGTGAATCCCATGGACAACCATTTTCGCGAGCCCACTTCAGCATTTCTAGGTGACCACTCTGGGCAGCGTATATGCAAATCAATGAATCCCATTGGCAACCATTCTCATGAAGCCCACTTCAGGACTTCAAATGACCACCCTGAGCAGCAACTCGGCAAGTCATGAATCCCATGGGCATCCATTCTCACGGGCCCACTTCAAAACTTCTAGATGACCATTCTGGGCAGCAACTCGGCAAGTCCATGAATCCCATGGGCCACCATTCTCGCGAGCCCACTTCAGAACTTCTAGATGACCACCACGTGCAGCATCTCGGCAAGTCCACGAATCCCATGGGCATCCATTCTCACGAGCCCACTTCAGAACTTCTAGATGACCACAATGGGCAGCATTTCTGCAAGTCCGTGAATTCATGGACAACCATTCCCACGAGCCCATTTCAGAATTTCTAGATGACCACCACGGGCAGCAATTCGGCAAGTCCATGAATTCCATGGGCAACCATTCTCATGAGCCCATTGGAGAATTGCAAATTGGCCACCCTGAGCAGCTGAAGAGCATGTCTCTTCATCCCATGGACATCCGTTCTCATGAGCCCACTTGAGAATTGCAATGTGGCCGAATTTGGCAGCAGAAGACCATGTCCTTGAGTCCCATGGACACCCTTTGTCCCTGGCCCATTCCAGTAATTTGAAATGGCCATACTTGGCAGCCTTGTGGCATGTCTTTTCATCCCAGGGACAACCGTTCTCATGCAACCACATAAGAATACTGAGATGACCACTTGCCGCAGCTTTCGAACATGCCTCAGCATCCCACAAGCAAACAATTGGCTCTGACCCATTTGAGAATTTCCATATTGCCACCTTTAGCAGCACCAGCACATGTCGCTGAATTCCATGGGCAGCCATTGTCACGAGCCCATTTTAGCAATTGAAATTGACCATGTTCAGTTGCAGCAGAGCATGTTTTTCATTCCATTGGTACCCCAATCTGCGGGCCCATTTCAGCACAGGGACACTTCCAGTTCTGGCAATGAAAGAACATACACTCTCTTGATCAATGCAGTTGTAGCCAGCATCATCTTCTTGAAGCCAGTACGGTTTACTTCTGTTCGCTGTTCCTTCTTTGGCATCCACGAGAATTTGGAGTAGTGGTTCCAAAGTTTGCTTGCTTCTGCTGATCAAGTCTTCCCACGGTTCACGGTGATTTATCGTGACGACTGATGGCTACTGACATGGAGTTTGCGTGGAATCTCACTTCGTGCAAAATGGGAACAAGGATGACTCGACTCGACTCGACAGCACTACTGTACTACTCTAGCTAGCTTGCTGAAATCTAACTTCGAATGATTCGATTCGATTCGTTTCCATCGGTGAAGTCGAAACCAACAGAGCCATTAAAATAATCCACGTTTTGCTCTCCGCCTAGCTAGCTGGCGCTAGCTATGATGGATGGTGTGCCCACCATGAGAATCGATGAAGAAAGAGTCGAAATTCAGGACTAGGTTCCGTGGGTTCAGGGGCGATAAAGTGAGGATCAGTACAGGGCCAAAGGGCTTGGCTTTGTGGGATCCACCGAGACATGAATGGGTAGCTTTCACAAGGCAATACAGAATGGGTAGTTTTCACAAGGCAATACAAATGCCGGTCTGCATGAAGAACATCATTTGAGAGTAGTCTATGAGAACTGAGATTGTTCCTAGCCAGTGAATGAGTTTCCATACTGCAAGCCTCATAGTAATGGACACCCAGTGTCTTGTGCCTACTTCCAAAGTTCAAAATGGCCATTTGCTTCACATTCTGACGGACACTGGCATCCAAATCACACCCCTTCTCATGGAACCATCTTAAAATCACCAAATGGCCGCCTACATCAGCCTGCTCAAGCGTCACTTTATTCCAGGGACATTGATTTTCATGAGCCCATTTGAGAGTTTGAAATGGCCATTCTTGGCAGCCTTTTGGCAGGCATGTCCATGCATGTCCATGCATTCCATCGGCAAACAAGAACCATAGTTGGCTTCCATAAGCGGCAGTACAAACACCCTCTTTATCAAAGCAATCGTTTGCCAGTGAAAAATTTAAAATGATCTGGTACTTAGTTAGTGCAGTCACTTGGCTTTGCCGGAATGAACAATTTCGCATAATGCTTTACAACGCCATTCCCTTGTAAATTCGACCAGTACAAACCTACAAAGAAGGCAAATATTTGTATCGAGCATAAAGTGAGTTTGGCAACTGATAATTCAGGACTCAAAGAGTTGCCACTTTGCTTTGTCGCAATGCACAATATCACATCAACACATCAACGAGATGTACCGGTACTACCGTAGTACACTGCCGAGAAAGGCAGTCGGGACCAGATATTCATACCAGTACCTGCAAAGGCATTTCCACAGGAAGAGAATAGATGGTTGTCAGTACATGTAAAGCTGTTCGTAGGCTGTTCATTCGTGTAGCTTCCGCTTTGTCTGATTTTGCGTCTCAGTGCGTGTATGCATAGTACCGGTATGCATAGCATGGCTTTCTCAGTCTGATTTTTTGTAAAGTACGTAAGTGGGTAGAGCTGTGGGAAGTGGGACTGATTCGAGAACGTACACCACGTGTCGCTTTGTCGAGGGGCAATTTCGTTAATTCATCAATCGAGCACTTGTTTTAGCTACATGCTGAAGTACAGTAGTCTACGTTTAAACGTGTACTCCATACATCAGTACTGATAATTTTTTTGGAAAGGATTGAATCGAGAAGTACACCACGTGTCCGTTTGTAGAAAGGGTGATTTCGTTATTTCATCAATCGAGTTATGATAATGGTCCAAGCTGGACAGCTGTACCGGTACCGATACTCGTACATGTAGTCCTAGTACAGTACTGTTCTATACTCAGAACTCAGTACCACGTACTGACTACTATCATACGGTAGCATACGAGTAGCATGTAAGTACTCAAGTACCAGTACCAAGTTTCTTTCCTGCATCTTTTTCAAAGTTCGTTAATTCGTTCGTTCTGGGTTCTTCGAAACTGAGTGACATACATGGTGGTGCAATGTCAATCTCCGAAGTCTTCGAGTTTTCGTCTTCTCACAATTTCAAGCCTCAACCTCACTTGCTTCACATCTGTCTTTACTAACATCGTTGCACATTGGAACATGACAAACCCTTCCTCGTCCCCATCCAAAACTGTCCCGTCCAATACAAGCAGATCACCCACCAACATGCTTCCATGCTCCCGGCTGACACTGCAGATCCCAAGAAGCAATCCAGCACCAGCTAGTGTGATGAGAGGTGCAGAGGCACAGTCAAGGCTCCAGACAATTCTACAAGATGCAATGGATTTGCTTGATGATGAGGACTTGTTTGATGATTTCCAAGACAATGGCTCCGCGTCAAGGCCGTGCCAGTGAGTCGAGTCGAGTCGAGCCGAGCCGAGCCGAGCCGAGCCGAGCCGAGTCGAGCCGAGTCTACCAGCAATGTCTCCAGCGCCAAAAACGATGGCCATGCTCCAATGGACTTTACCAGAAGAAAAGAAGAGTTGCTAAGGGGTAGCTAGTTAAGACATTTTATTAAAATACCTGTAGGCTATCAAATACATGTCACGCATTGCATGCACAAACTAGCAAGATTCTCTTATTTACAATGCCTTGCTATACCATCAACACCAGCAAAATTTAATACTGGAACTCTCAGATGATGTTCTTCATTCAAACTCGCTCCTACTAGCTAGCTAGGAGTTGCTAGTACGAACAGACTACTTACTTTTGGAAATGCATGCCTCATACTACAGCCAAGTTTCATGGTAATGACACCGAACTTTGACATGGCCATCCTCCCAAGGATAGCAACCATGCATACCGTAGTCTTGGCAGCTTTGCATCGTGTCAGTCAAGCAAAGACTGGTATAGTTAGTTAGTTGTTACCGTACCAGAGAAAATGCACCAGGTACCGGGAGACAAGATGTACCAGCAGGCACCAAAAGATAAAAGCAAGCTTGGAAGGCCGAAATAATATCAGTGGGGTAGTACATGTATCCTGCAACGACACTGGCTCTTCATATACCCGTTCCACAACAACATAGGAGGGGCCATTTCTAGCTGAAACAATTATGCCAAGGCTGTAGCGAGAATCTTGTTGGAACCGGTACTTGGCACAAGACGCACTGTAAAACACGGCACTTGAAAAAGTGTCTGTGCGGCTTGCTGCGATTATCTCCAATGCACCTCCATCTTCATTATATACTATCACCTTTGGATAATCCACCCGCCAACGCCCTCGTAGAGTCTGGTACGTTTTCTACGTGTGAGGCTTTTTGGCGGGTTGAAACCACCAAAATCCCCGTGTTGTTTTCTAGAAGACACTTTACTGGATTCTGATGAGAACTCACTCTGAAGATTTAAGCTTCAAAATGGATTTTGAGTGCCATTTCGCAGGTTTGTATAAGGAGCTAGTTGATTGGAAGTTTTACTCTTCTAGTAGTTACTGTGTAAAATCCACTGTTGGATTTTCAGCCGTTTTCTTGAGTGGGAATTGGCGGGTAAAATCCCACTAGTAGTATCAAGGAGAATCCACTGTTGGATTTTCAGCCGTTTCTGTCTCTTAAGTAATCTCAGGACAACTTACTAGCCGTTTAAACTCAAGCCAAACACGACTGATTCCGTGGTAAACAGTGCTTTTCGGACAACAAACAAAAGAACTGCTGATGCCGTATCACCGTGACACAACAACAACCATTCAACAACTCGACGAGCGATCAACATTGACAATGGCGCTCCTGTTACCATATGGGACGTCTTTCCTCGGGCGTATGGCAGTGTAGATTACATACAAAGATCTCCCGCCTCACTGTCGGCCTCGAATGTCGGCTTCAACCTCAGCATCGGCTTCGGCGGGCCTCATCCTCTGCTTCGGTTGAGCCTCCATCCTCGGCCTTGTCGATCCTTGTTAAATCGTGCTCCCTTGGCTTCGCCGCGGGAACACGATTGAACTCGGATCTTCAGTTTGCCGGGAGATTTTTCTACAGGATCCTTGACTGCAGCCCCATATTCCTTGTAAAGCGTATTGAGTTTCTTGTTGACACCACCCACAAAGGCATACTGACCCATGCCCAGAAAAGGAAGGATGTTGTTGATCCATACATCATCTTCATGATCCAACAACATACTAGCTAGTGATGGCCAGGGCGGCGGGGAGATTATGCTTTCTTCAAGTTCTTGCCTATCAGTGGATGGATGGATGGATGGATGGATGATGTACGGGGTTGCTTCTGTTGGTTTCCTGTTCCCTGTTTGGCAATCGCGCTAAGACGAGAAAGTGGAATAGTTTGGTTGCTTGCACCATTGCTCGATCAAGTCGAGTCGAGTCTGTTGTCACGGTCCACGATGATCTATCGTGACCACCGACTTAGCGTGGAATCTCTCGAGTGATTTGGACTCGGATGCAATCGACACACTAGATCTGCAAACGATAAGCCAGCAAGATAGCTTGCAAGAATTGGCTTGCCGACTGAATTCCACGCTGCACGCCACCATCTCTTTCACTTTAGCCGTTGCAATAACTGCCTTGTCCGATGCGCACCTCTTGCTTGTGGCTGTGATTATTCCCCACGTCATCCTTGACGGATTGTAATTTTTGCGGCAGCAACGGTCCAAAATGCCAACCAACTATAAAGACTAAAGACCAAAACAAAGACCGACCCAAACAAAGCAAAGCACGGCTTGGATTAGATTTGGGTTGATCGATCGGGGAGAGTCTTCTATTATCCATCATATCCATTTCTATCTTATTAGCTATCTTATTAGTTTTATTAGTAAAGATGCTAGGCTGGGCGAGTAGCCAATTTGAAAAGCTATCTCAAACGGTAGCACCTCCTCCTACGGATGGCAACAGTCGATTTGTCTATGCCGTTCAGAAAGGCGATGAAGATGGCGCCATGGCATGCGTGTCGGAAATGGACGACGTCGCACGCACCAAGTTGAATCCAACACGAGGTTCCTACGCGATTCACTTGGCGTGTCAACAGTGCATGGATCGCTTGATTCGGTATTTACTCCAACAACCCGGTGTCGATTTGACGTATATGGATAGTGCCGGCAATACGCCGTTGCATTATGCCTGTTTGTCCACCGACACTTTGCGCACATTGCCAACCGTCAAATTGTTGGTGACAGAATTGGGTGCGTCGGTCGTTGCCAAGAATAGTTTGGGTCAAACCCCGTACGATGTGGCGACGGTCAATTCGGTGCGACAATTTTTATTGCCACTCCAACTCCAGCAAGAAACGCAAGCGGCCATTGACAATGGCGGCGTGGGATTGCCACCGGGTATTGATATGGGAGGATTGCGCATTCGAAATCCCGTCGCACCACCGCCGCCGATACGTCCCGCGCCCATGTCGTCTCCGGCGCCCACGCATTCCATGTTGCAACAGCAAGATGGCGGAGTGGCACCGACATCCGGGGGCTACGCATTGTCGGGCTCCTCGTCGGCCCATACGGCCGTCATGAAGGGATTTCGAAAACCCGATGGATTTCATTCCTCGTCATCGGACGCCAATTTGCAAAAGAAATACGGACACTACCAATCATCTCAATACGCCAATATTGCGCCCCCGCCGGCATCGGGAGGAGCGCCCATTGCAAGTGCGTTTGCTGGCGGCGGCGGCAACAATCCATTTGCCGGAGGAGCCGCCGCCAATCCGTACAGTGGACGCGCCAATTCCCGTTATGTCGCCTACGATGCCGTCTCCAATACCACCTCGCCCATGCCAATGGCCATGCCCAATCAACGAACCATGTCGGCACCCAATACTGGTACTGCCAATTATGGAGTTTTTCAACCCTTGGACGACAACAAGCCACAACAGCAACAGCAACACAACCAGCCATGGCGGCGTTTGTCACACCCCAAAAGGAGCAGCAGCAACCACCGCAACAAGGAGAACAACATGCCAGCGGATGGAAGGAAGTTACCGATCCAGCATCGGGACGACTCTACTATTACCATGAAACGGATGGAACCACGTCGTGGGAAAAACCTACAGCTGCCGTAACCGCACCACATCGTTGTAGCAACCACACCCGAACCAACACCCGTGGCGGCGAATACTACCACAGAAGAAGAAGAATTATTGCCGGGGTGGAAGCCAGCCACGGATCCAACGTCGGGACAGGTATATTATTACAATGAACTCGATGGTACCACTTCGTGGGAAAAACCAGTGGCACCAACTGCCACGGCGCCAGCACCGACAGCAACAGAGGCTACCACGACGATGGAACCAACTACTAGTACAGAGCCAACACCATCGCAACTCCAGCAACCACAGGAAGAACACAAGACAGAAGTTGCCGCGGAGCCAACCGAAGGAGCAAAACCGGAAGGGGGAGAAGTCAAGCAGGAAGAGACAAAGCCAGCTGAAGAGCCAAAACCGGAAGAGGTCAAGCCGGTCGAAGAAGCAAAAGCCGAAGAGGAAAAGGCAACCGAAGGTCAAACCGGCGAAGAGCCAAAAACCCGAAAAAGGAGGAAAAGACTGAAGAGGAAAAACCTGCAGAAGCGACGGATGCCTCGTCTGCTCAACCAGCTACTACTGCTTCTGCCTTTGAAACCCCCGCTCCTACGTCTGCTGCTGCTGCAGAGGTCCCTCCACAACAAACTGTGCCTCCGGCCCTGCTGGAAGGTTGGCATGAAACTCAGGATCCGTCAACCGGACAGGTTTATTATTATCATGTGGATGGAAGGACCTCGTGGGAGCGACCAGTCGCACCAGAACAGAAACCTGTGGAAACGCCTCAGCCGCTTCAAGTTGACCCCATCACGACACCTGCAAAAGTCGATCCCGTCACCACGGCATTCTCGCCTTCGACAACGGCTGCGGCCGCCATGGCATTCGGGACGCCGGCTGCGCAACAAACGGTAAATCCGCCCCAAGGAGTCATTAGCTTTAGTAGTGGAGCCCCCACGGTGCTTTCTCCTTTGGCCGAGGGACAGCCGCCAGGTGCCGCGACACCGGCTGCGAGCAATATCTTTGCGGCGCCGCCATCGGGAGGAATGACACCGTTCGGTGGGGTTGCGTCCTCCGAAGTCTTTTCGTCGCCCACTATGCCATCCCAGGCACCAATCAGCAATGACATGAGAGCATCTACGGAGCCAAATGTGGCTTCTGCCGGAGCCTTTTCTTCCATCCAGAAAGCACCGAACAGTGGTGCAGCGGATTTGTTTGCATCGCCTCCGTCCGGAGGCGTTTCTTGGTCTTCTGCTGCGAATACTACCATGGCAGATGCTCCTGCTGTAGCACAACCTGCAGCCGTTACGTTTGCGCCAGCCACCAGTGGCCACGTCTCGCCCATGCCAAACCAGGAGGCCAAGCCGGCT